TAGAGGAAGTAATTAACTTCTAGGTTTAAAAGACACCTCAGATCAGAGCTGGGGATTTAGCTCAGTGGCAAAGCGCCTGCCTGGCAAGCACAACGTCGTGAGTTCGGTTCCCGGTACCGGAGAAAAACAACAAACAAACAAAAAAAAAAGACATCTCAGATCAAAAGACAAACAAATCATCAGCTAGTCACAACACACTCTTAGTGTGTTTAATTTTATTAGGAACAAATGAAATATAAAATTCACCTTTGATAATTCAATTAAACCAAAAAATATCCCTATAAACATACATAGTTGATCATTCAATATATACTTTAGAATATATATATATTTCAAATATATATATGATATATATATTTGATATTAGGGAATTGAAACATTCAACCTGATTATGTCTGAGTTTTATTTTTCTACAGTCAAATCCCCAGGGGGGATTAACCTTAAGGTTTATTGACCCTTACCCTTCATCAACAGTCCCTGTGTTAAGAGATGAATCCACAAACTCTTCTTTCTTACCACATTATGGAATTTTCAATAACATCCACAATACATACTTACCTATAACTATTCAACTTTTAAATATTTTTAAATACCCAAGAACCACCCTCATCAATAATTGTGTTTTTCAAGCCTGATTAAATTGGGCTGAACTATTCCAATGGCTTTGCCACAGTTGCTGTGAAATGTAGGAAATAACCGATCAAATACTGAGCACTAAATTGAAGACACTGATCAGTCTTTACATCTGTCATGTGAAAGCTGCCATTCTTCACTGTTCAGCGCATCCAAAAAGCATGTCCAGTCATTTGATGAATAGTTTTTGATGTTAATCTTTCCAGTAGTTTGTGAATAGCTTTAAATAGCATTGAAACAAGGCTTGGCAGGTATGACAAAAACTAAAGCTTACATCAAATCAAAGTTCAATTTATAAATACAAACGCAGAGCAGCAAAACACTCTATCACTTAAAATATAATTAGTTGAAAAACACATAATGAAGAACTGTGGTTTGCTCTTCTATATCCACATTATCTATTTTTTTTGTGTGTGTGTGTGTGTGTTTTTGAGACAGGGTCTCGCTATGCAGTTCAGGCTGGCCTTGAGCTCCCTTTGTAGCCCAGGCTGGTCTTGAACTCTTAATGATCGTCTTGCCTCAGCCTCCCAAGTGCTGGGATTACAGGCGTGCACCACCACGCCCGGACACATTATGTAAATGAAGAAAATAATGTGACAAGTAAGTCATGATTTGGCAATCAAAAGTTTCCATTTTATTCATTAGTTTTTATAACGTGCCCTGAGTACCACCAAAAAGAATTATGTATATTTAACTTAATATGTGGACAATTCAAACTACAATTATCTTCTATTTTAGCAGTTATAAAAGAGATTACTTTATAGAAGTTATTTAATAAATTATATCCTCAGGAACCACCTTTTTACCACAATTATAAAACTTCTACACCAAAGCACAAATAGAATGCATAACAGATGTAGCATGGGGATCATTATTCATTTGGCAGAAAGAAATATCAGAGCAAAATTCTCCCAAGCTAGTAAAAATTTGATAATTTATCATCACCTAAACAATTCTGACCAAAGGTAAATGCTGGTTTGGTTCAAAGCTGTTGCAATTTATTAAGTTATATAGTCACTGGACTTTCTATTCCTTTTCTCTGAAATGTAAATTTAGAAAGCATTATAATCTCAAAACAAAAAAAGAAAGAAAAAATTGTGGTGTATACTACAATGTCACAGCAGTTAAAAACATGCATAAACAATTCTGAACAGGCAGGATCACTTCCTATGGACATAAAGCTTTGAAACTGCATTTCTTGCTAAATTGTTCCTATCAAGAGAACTAGTACTAAAGTTTGGGTTTTCACATCTGGACCTATCAAAGATGAATTTAAGCTTTCTAAAATATGCATGTCTTCTCTATTTTCCTGGATTTCACTGAACATTTACCCCCCCCTTTTGACATTTACCTTCGATAACCTTTACACATGCTATCTCTCCTTCACGTTAACTCCCCATTTTGCTATTCCCCTATATACCCCTGCCCATACAAACCTACTGTCACCTATACAACTCACTCCTTCTCCTCTCACTTCATGTTTACATTTACTTCTTCATGCCTACTAGCTGCCATGCATCAGTGGGAAGATACATTTCGTAGTGGGTAAGCACATTGGATTCAAGCTCTGGGGCTTACTAGGTGTATAAAAACATTGTTTAAACTCACTGTACATTCACTTCCTTCTCTGAAAAATAGAGATAATAATAAGACAATTGTGGGGCTGGGGATTTAGCTCAGCGGCAAAAGCGCCTGCCTGCCAAGCGCAAGGTCGTGAGTTCGGTTCCCGGTACCGGAGAAAAACCAAAAAAAAAAAAAAAAATAATAATAATAATAAGACAATTGTCAAGAAAAAATAAGATAGCACTTGACACACTTTGAAGTTTTCTGGCTATCCTTATTTAGGGCTACTATAAAAAATTGTTGCAAAGGCCAACATACAGTACCTGCTTTCACTGCAAGTGATACTTCTCTGTACTCGGGCTGATTTAAGTGCAAGTTTGAAAACGCGTTTTTGTTTTTATAAATGGGGTTATTAAGTACTGGAAGTCTTGGGTTACAAAGAAGTTAACATTGTCTTGCCAATTATCACAGATCCACATCCTCCTCTGCCCAATAAACCATGTAATACTGGTTATTTTTATGACATCCAATCTTAAGAATCAAAAACAGTGAAAAACTCCACCAACCCAAAGCTAATTTTAAATATTCTTTAGACAAAGTTTGTCACTTACAGAAACATCTTCCTTTGTGCAGTTGTTGGGTTCCCTCAGATTTCTCCCACATTTCTAAGTCATTGTTGACAACAATGTTGGCACAACCTTAAGGTAGAATTTTAATACTGCAAACTGAAGAGTTCCTTTCTGAAATAAATAATCAGTACCCTATTTATGTTATACAGCAAATCTCTCTAAAGTGTGTGTACTTTGTACTGTTTTAGCATGTAAAAGTATTGTAAAATCATAATAAAGCAAGAATGTATCTTGGTGATAAGCAACAGAATGCTAACAACATGTTCACAGTAACTGTAGTAACTAAAATAGTGGACAGATCTTTACCCATGAGAAAAAATTTGAACTAACGCAAACACCTGCCTTTTGCAATTGTTGGTTTTTCTCTGGTACCGGGAATCGAACTCATGACCTTGCACTTGCCAGGCAGGTGCTGTGCCGCTGAGTTAAATCCCCAGCCCCTGCCTTTTGCAGTTGTTAACAACAGAGTCCATTAAAGAAATTAATAAAAGTTTCAATCATTTTGAAGACTCTTAAAAATTTAAGTGTTAACAAAGACAGGTGCATTTGTTATTTGAATAGAATTCATTTTGAGTGAGGGGGACAGTAAAAGAGAGAAAAAGCAAATAACAAATAGCAGCATTGAAACTTCACAGCTCCCAAAGATAAGCTAACTACCTTATTTGTTTTTTTATTTTATTTTTTTTTTTTTTTTTTTTGGTTTTTCTCCGGTACCGGGAACCGAACTCACGACCTTGCGCTTGGCAGGCAGGCGCTTTTGCCGCTGAGCTAAATCCCCAGCCCCACTACCTTATTTGTTAAATCTAATCAGGGGTATAACTACAGGCGTTGAGCTACTTTCTAAAATGTTACAATTATTGTATTAAATTGTCTCTGAGTAACTCAAATTTTACTTTAAAATATCAGAATATGTATATGAAAAATAAGACAAAAGACTTATAATGTGGTGTTCCAAAGGAAATTTAAGGTTTTCTTTTTTACAACTGAAACTTGCTCCAAAGACATGATTATGTATTTTCATTATCTCAAAACTGTCCAAACATCCCCACGCATAGTGGTTACTGAAGACAAAAACTCAAGGTGCAAAATTCTTGCAGTTCCACAAATCTTTCAGTTCTATTCCAAATCCTCTTAGATATAAATATAAAAAAAGAAAAAAAAAGAACCCAGAATCACTGCTGCTCTAAACCTCAAGGAGAGGGAGGCATTCCTGTATCTTCCATCTTGAACCCAAACATCTGTTCCTGCTTTTCTCTTGAGCTGCGAAGAGCAGATACATTTTCCTTTAAAGCAGATATACTCGGCTTTCACAGAGTATATCCTCTCCTCCTCAGAGCTGCTGAAAAAAGTGTTATCCTCAGTTAACGATTAGCAAATGGATCCAGGAGAAAATCCTACCTTTTGAAGAAGCAGCAACTCAGCCTACCTTTTCAGAAAAAGCCACTTGTTAGCTCCCTTTCCAGTTCTCAATATATTTAAAGCAGTTAAAAAATATTAGAAGTAAAACCATTTGAAAGAAAAATTCAAAATGAGAAACAACATGGGGGAAAAAATGTCTCATGTTAAAAAGTTTTTTAAAAATGTTATCATTATTCTCAACTTCTCCCATTTTTTCTAGTTCTAACATGCTTTTGAACTGAAGTTAGACACCTTTTTCCTATGTACTCTCAAAATAAATCCATTACAGGCGTTTCATGTTTTAGAGTAATCCCAGAACCTCAGCAGTTAGGCCTCCACTCAGTCTCCATCAGTAATAGAATGCGTACCCTTATCCGTTACAGAAATTCATTCCTTCCGTTTTCATCATTACTTAGACCATATCTGCTGAGTGTGTCATTCTTGAAACTCACCAGTGTGTGATTTTGTTTGACTTCCTCACCTAACCCTAAAGAACCAATATCACCAGCTCCCATTTCCCAAAACTTTGTAGCTTTCTTTTTCCTTCATAGGAGAAACGTGGCCCTAACGTCGGAAGGCAAACACATATAAAACTCCCTGGGGGGAAAAAAAAAAAAAACATGCAACAAAAGAAGAAAGGGAAGAAGGGAGTAGGGTACGGGGTGCGTATGTCTTCCGAAGGAGAAGCTGCCAGATGAACAACAATTTAACGGTTCTGGAGCAGAAGAGATCGGTAGGTAAGAAAAATAACAAAGGTGGACACCCCGCTCTCCTTACCGCCGTGGAGCCAGACGAAGATGCAATATACACACGGATCACCATCCTGGGAACACTGGCTTGCGGTTGTTTGGATGCTGAAAACGGCTGCAAAGCAGCTGCAGCGAGGCTAGAAGGGAGCTAGGCGCCCAACAGAGATTAGGAGTGTGGGGGAGGGAAGAAAGGGAAGGCTCCAGAGCCCCGCCTCGGCCCTTAGCTGCTTTCAACCGGCTCAGAAGACTGCAGTCCAGCCCCAAACCCCGGAAGGCACAGGCTCATTTGCATCATTTCTTTTTTTTTTAAACTACAGAATCTCGAATAGCACCGCGAGATCTGTTGAAACAATTCTTTTTGACTAGTCCTTCCTCGAGAAGAGAGGGAGGAGGAGAAAGAAAAAAGAAAGGGCAAACACTGAATTGAATTCGATTAAAATGCAGAAAGGAACTTTTCCACACAAGAAAAATTTTTGCTGTACCTTACTTCTCAGAAATGTACACAAACCAGAAGATACTTCTTTGAAACAGCAAGCTCTGTGCTAAATTCAAACACGACGAAAACAAATCCCAAGTTCTCAAAGCCTTGAACATTGCAAGAGTCCTGTATGTAATAATTTTTATGATGTTAGCTGGCTGCGGGAATTGTGAACTGAAATGCTGGGCCAGGGTTCAGAAAAAACTTTAAGATTTCCCTAAACCTGGAAAAGACAGAGTTAGATTTGAGTTTTGCTTTTTGTTAAAATGGGAAATCTTCTTTCTGCGGGCATTTTGCAGGAGACCCGATTGCCAAACTCAGGAATGGAGGAGAAAGTTGCAAACAAAACTTGAAAATTATGTGAAAAAAGTGCTTTGCTTTACTTTGCTTTTTATCTGACCGAGAAAACAGTTTGGAGCATACATTGCAGATGTCAGAATGATACAGAGAGAGCAGGTGGTTCTTTGTAGCTTAGGAGAATGAACAAACAATTGGTAATGTATGAGGGAGGGACTGTATATTTCAAATGGTAGTTTCAAGTTCCCAGATGCCCCCAAATGAATAGAAAAATTTACAAGATGAATGAGACAAGAAAGAGAATTAGTCACCTGCCCTACTTTTTTTCTTTTGTAATTTGTGTTCCCTCTCTACTAGTTTACGTACCACCCTTGCAGAGGCTCACATACTGCAGCAGCTACCTAAAAGTTCCCTGTCCACAGATTCTATCTCCTCCAAATTGCTTTTTATACTAACTCTAAATTGATCTCTTTATATGTGGTGCATACAATGATCTTGAGAGGTAGGTAATACTACCTTATTTTTTGCAGAAAAGAACCAGAAACTTATCAAAATAATTTCCTCAGTCATGTATGGTAAAGTAGCAAACTCCAGTGTCAGGCCTTGACCTCAGGCTCAACCTTCTCCAAAGACCACTCTCTTATCTATCACCGTAACACAACATCAGCTACTTTTTGTCCTAAAATGGTGCTTTCATTTAAGGCAATATGGGTTGAAATACTTATGAAAGTTCTCCATTCACTATCAAACCAAACCTAAATTGTGTTTCTAAGGAGACCCCATATGATCTGATCTTACACTATTCATACAGTCTTACCCATTGCTTAGATTCTCTACATAGTCATTGAAAACCCCTCACTATAATCACTGAACTTATTCCCACTTTTACACCTTAACTCTTTTTGTCCCTTCCTTCGTCTATTCCTATATCCTCATATCCCTTTCAGTCCTCTCCACCTCTCCAATTCAACTTCTTCTAGACATATCTCAAAATTTTTACAAAAAGGATAAGTCAGGGTGATCCAGCTCCCTTCATTACTCCCAACTCTAGGGCTATTGTTATGGTGTTTCCCAGTCCATTTAATAGGAAAATTTTTCTTCTGATTTTGATTTGGCAAAATGGGCACAATTACCAAAATACAACCTCTTCCCCTTCAGTGGTCCACATGTACTCTCTTTGGACATGTAGTCTCTTTCAAAATGATGAAAAAATAAACAGAAAGAAAGAAATCCCTTCTATTTATTCTACACACCTACCAGATGAAATTAATTATCCCCAGAGAACTGAGTGACAGAATTAGCAATCAGTCAGTTGGGCTTTTTCTGACCTTTAAAGAATAAGAGAATGATTTCTGATTTTATTTCTTTTAAATATAGATGTGAAATGTCCCCAATAAATTGATTTATAAATAAAGTCTGCTGGTCCCTCATGACAGGACTGAGGATACATTTTGAGGGAGGGATAAATCTTTATCAACATTTCTGTCCTAGATACTAACATTGTAGATATTCCTTGTTTAGTGACTCACCTATTGAACAACTGTTTGGACTTAGGACTGAGGTGCACTGTTCAGACTTATGGCCTGCCGCTCAGACTTACAACCTCTCTTGTTTTTGTTACATGACTGTATATGTAGAGGCTCAATTTTTTGTACAGTATACCTTGTTTATATAGTACTGTAATTTTTTATGATTGTACTGTATAGCACAGTAATGTAGTTTCATGTTCTGTTACACATTACAGCACTGAATGTGAGAGTTATGCAAATAAAAGCAAAAGTCATCAAGCTGGAGTTCCCTTTGACCATTTCTTATTGAATATTGCAATGTACGTGCTATATAGAATTCCTCACTTAGTGACAAATACATTTAACAATCTAGTCACAGGAACTGAACTCGGGCATTGAACAAGAAATGTCTGTATAGATAGTATTAGACTTACTTCTCACTACATTCAACCATTCCTAGAAAAGATGTTGCAGTTACTTCATTTTAATTTTCAGAGTAGCCTCTGGAAACAGTGTCTTATATTCTTTTAACTGGAAAGGCTAAGGCCTGAATGAAGTAAGGTGGATCAAAGAGTTTTCAAATAGCACTGTGACCTATTCCTATAAAAAATTCTATTAGCCAACATTAATCCACTTTAAAGTTACAAAATAAATGCATGCTGTATGGCCACTCCTCTAATAATTTCTTAGGAGTATACTTCTTGATGTGGAATTGCTGGCAAACTAAGTAGGCATTCTAATATATTGTTAAAATGCTATATTTGGGCTCAGTATCATCTTTATCTAGAATGGAAAAAGAATGGTGATTTCATTGAAGAATTTGTTGATGTTATCCTAGTCACGAGAATTGGCTTGTTGTGATTTTAGTTGAGGCTTTATGGCCACTTTATTGTTAAGAACAGTCTGAAGCCAGTTCTCCCCCTTATATTTCCAGATTCATTTTCCTGATGTTAGACTGACTTTCTGCAACTTTCAGCAGTGGAAAGTGGTATATCCCTGCCCTATTTCCCCTGCAATGGAATAGATATCCATGCTGCTTATGGTGCCCACTTAAGTACAAAATTCTCCAAAATACAGATTTTGGTTCTCTGTCTTGGATCGTTGGACCAGTTTTTTTGTTGTTGTTTTGGTCTTTTTTTGGTGGGGGGGTGTTTCTGGTACCGGGAATCAAACTCACGACCTCACGCTTGCCAGGCAGGCCCTGTGCCGCTGAGCTAAATCCCCAGCCCCCTTGGACCTGTTTTTGAGCTAGAAGGTATAAGACAGTTTCAGCAAGCTGGACATACAGTGGTAGGATTGGTGTGTATGGCGTGGATATAGGCAAACAGATTACAGAGATAGCAGAACTAAGGCTTTCTCTGGAATGGCATTGCATAGAATCCAAATAATCTCTAACAGACATGGGTCATACGCAAGGCGTAGGATAAGAACTAGAAGACATCACCTCCTACCTCTGGTTTTTGTTTTAGCTTGGATTTTGGGTTTTTGTTTTTGTTTTTTGAGACAGGATTCTTGCTTTGTAGTTCCAGCTGGCCTTGAATTCACTATGTAGTCCAGGGTGGCCTTGAACTGAGGTGACCCTGTGCCTCAGGCTCCAGAGCGCTGAGATTACAGGCGTGTGTCATCATGCCCAGCTATCTCAGGTTTTGATCTCGATTGCTCTTATAAATATTTGTCCTATACTCACTTGAAGTTCCTTTTATGGTGAGAAAACTCTCCTTTTTATCTTCAAACTTCTCTCTGAATGTTCTTTCCACCTCATTGCCGTAACTGATCATTGTTTCTTCAGGACAGCACTTTCTGTTCTCAAGTGAAGATCCTTTATGCTCTCACATCATACTCAGGGTTGAAAATCTTCATCTCCCTGCCAAAAGCAGCTGTATATTCTTATTCCACAAAGGTATTTCATAACCTCCTGGGCAGAAGCAGCTCTAAATCATCATTGAGTTGTTTGGAATTTCAGTCTATCCCCTTTACTTGACCTGGTAATTCCTTACTTCCCATTTAGGTCTTTGATAGTTTGAAGAAGATTTTGTAAATTACCTTTGAACATTTTAAATTGCCTTTGGTAAGGGAATTATTCCAGGTCAACTAGTCCACCATTGCCACAAGCAGGAAATTTTCCTAAGTTTAAACTCTTGAGAAAGTAAAAATATTACCTTTCCTACAGTAAGAAAAGACTAGAAAGTTACAATTAAGAAAATTTTAGTGTAATACTTACAAAATATTACATATCAACTTCATTTGATATTAAATTTAGTATTCATAAAATTCCATTTCATTTGAAAACAATTCATAGTTTAGACTTTTTTGCACATCCGCAGAATAATAGCTGCTGAGAAGTCAGTGCTAAGCATAATTTAATGAATGATTTGTGGCTCAAATTTTAAAATTCAGTCTGATCTGGCAGATCAGACACAAGGAGCATAACACACAACACATCAACATGTAAATATAGAAATCACACACACAAATACAAGTACTGCCCCGGTACCGGAGAAAAACCAAAAAAAAAAAAAAAAAAAAAAAAAAAA